CATACAGACATACACCTTTAACGTAAGCTTGTCCCAGAGCAAACTGTGTTGAAAGCCCCAAATTTGTCAGCATCAGAGAAAAGAGTTATAATGATGTTGTATTTTTATCTGTCTTCAAGCAGATTTATGGTTATGATGATCTCCAGATGCTTCAATCCAGGCTGCCAATGGTAAGTAAATAGCTTGGTTATTTCATTTTAAGCAAGTTGTCTTCAGTATTGATCCTCTGTCCAACACAAATTGCTTTGCTCAGGGGTGATTAAGAGCTTTTCCTTATGTTCTGTCATTTGAATATCCACAAACAGTTTATTTAGGTGATGCAAATGGATATGGAGAGATTGAAAAGACAGTTTGCAGGTGGACAAAATGTAACAAAGTCTTTTCAAGTCTATATGAAATCTGAGCATGAGCTTCTCCCTTAACAAGGGGTGGGCTTGAACAGCAAGGTGTTGTACATAAATTGACAGCTACTGGGTGCATCTAGCAGGTTGTTGAAGCTATTAAAGCTGGAGTTCTTTGCATGCATTGTGGCAACGAATACATTAGTAGGTAAGTTGCAGGAGAGGAAGCACACCATTTTCTTACTTAGCTGAACCCAGCATATAAATAACACACCAGAGAAACTTGAATGATAGGTAGTTAAATTCACAGGTAACCTCACCCTCAATGCAGAAAGGTGAGGAGTTGTTTCCTCCTACCCCAAAACTCGGGTAAAAACTCAGAAAGGTTGGTAGTATGTAACTGAGAGAAGTTGAAGGATAGATTGATGCACTGTATCCATAAAGGCGAAACTGGAGCAATGAGCAGTGATCTGGAAAGAGTATTGTTGGATGAAGGCTGTAATTAAGCAAGTCAGTACCAAGTTGTCCATGTGGAATCTGAGGGTTAGCCAAATGGAGTACAGGGATGTCCCAGACAAAACCCTGTCTGTCCGCTCATCGTCAAAATGAAAGGAAGAGTAGGCCACAAGTGATAATGTGGTTAAGATTTGAAAATGTTCTACAAAAAACACTTAATGATTCAGAAGAACCAGTCTGACAGATAACTGAATTGAGTTAGGAGAAAAAATATGGATGATATCTAATAATAAATACTAAACTGAGGGGGAAGTATTGCCAGAAAAAATAAAAAATGAGGCCCAAAATAAAGTATCTGGTAATGAAAAACAGGTAGAATATTTACTGTAATGAGCAAATCAAGGCTATGGAAAAAGTACTAGTACTTAGCTTCAGAAGAAGCTTAATACCTGTCAAACAAAGTAGAAAACTGACTGTTCTGTTATTTGTAAGTTGTCCTTATATTCAGCAGAAGACCTTAAATTTAGGTCTAATATAAATAGCACACAATTATTTGGAAATAAGCAATGAATGTTTCTGAAAATCTTTTGTATGAGGATGTCTTAATTTCTAGTAAAAGTTTTTTGAAACCCAAGAAAGTTGCAGCGAGGGCAGATGAAGCCATACTGAGATAAAAGGAAAGACCTAGCTAAATGAAGACCTACCTGGCAGCTTGCTATCAGTTTGGGAGAAAGTTATGGGATGGTTGGAGAAATATAGCAGGTGTGTCACACAAATTGAGGTGAAGCTATTAACAAGTAAGAAATACTATAATGAATTAGGAAAATGACAGTATTGGTATTAAAATAAGAACATGCTTGGATAAAAAAAAACAACAACAACAACAAAAAACCAAAACAGCCTACTGATAGACTATGACAGGTCTGTACTGCAAGGAGTGTTAGGAGTAGGTTCATAGTTCTACACCAGACACACTCCCCACAGAACAGAACTGCTGACATGTTTGTGATGATGTGAGTTCATTAAAGACAAAGCAGTGAAACTAGAAATGTGGGAAGGCTCTCCTCAGCAAGCATGGGTGGAAGAAGTGAGGTGAGGGAGCGAATGTTTGAGCTGTAGCTTGGGTTCAGCACAGGAGAGCAAGAGGTATGGGATTTGCTGGGCTGAGGTCAGGGTGTGTGCCTGAGGCTGCTGTGACACAGAATGTGTGCTGTCCGAGCCTTTGTCTTGGCCAGTGGCTGTTGTTTGCAGGTAGTATGTTTGGGATCTCCTGCCTCACCCTTACTTGTATGGGCGTTGTTCCAAGGTTCTTGCTGGAAAGATGGTGTAGTTGGGTTTTCCCCTGCTATTCCCGTAAAGGCAGAGGATGCTGTTAAAGGAGACGCAGTGGGGATCTGGTGCTATAGGCTCTATTTTGTGAATAGAGAAAAATGAGTTAGAGAAATAAGGTAGCAGAGAAGAGCGGTTGCTGGAAATGATGCAGCAGCTCCTAAGTGATTTTTATGAAGGTTCAGGCAGGCTGACTCTGAAGTTGAAAGTTGAGTAAGAGACAGTGTCCGTGTCAGCTTGGATCTTTGGGGGTAACCCCTGCCTGTAGTTGACAAGGAATGGGGTACCTATGCTGTCATGGTGGTACGAGCACATCAGTGAGGCTGCTCCTGTTTCAGGGCAGCACTGGAATTAGTTCAAAGCAGCTGACCCCAGCTGCCAGCCTGGGCTTGGTGGGGGAGAATAAGGCTTGTGCTGGGGATCTGTGTGTGGGACTGTGAAAGCACATCTGTCTGTAACCATTCCCTGCTGTGCCTGTTAAACATGTGACTTTGATTAAAAATATATATATATATATTTCAGAAGTACTATTATTTTCCCTGTTGTCTGTTTACTTCTGTTTCGAAATAAAGTCAGGCAAATAGATGAATACTCAATCAAGTTGTAGAGTCCGAGTCAGTTCTTCACAGGGGTTGGCAGACTTGAGTGAAGGATCAGAAGTTCTGAGTGAGTGGTGCAGCAAGTACCACAGGTACATGGTGTGCAGCAGGGTGTTGTGGTTGCTGAAGATGCTGAGGTTGTAGGAGATGAGAAGAGCGAGAGTGAGCTGTGCAAGCTTATGGAGGCTGAGAGAAGCAAAAAGGTGCTGGGTGCATGGGGGTGGTAGCTGCAAGGGTGGGGGGCATAGAGAGAGTGAGAATCAGGTTTGGTGAGGATGTATGTGTAAGAAGATTTAGTTCAACCATTAAGTGAGTACTAAATCCACTTGTAAGCCCCACCATTAAATACTGAATATGTGTGATTCTTTAAGACCTCCAAGACTGGTGACTCAACCACTTTGCTGGGCAGCTTATTCCAATGATGCCCAACCCTTTCAGTCATGAAATTTCTCCTAATCTCCAGTGTAGACCTCCCCTGGTGAACCCTAAGGCCCTTCTCCCTCTTAGTGCTTTGGAGAAGAGCCCTGTTCTCTCTCTTGGCTGGTGGAGTGGTAGGTGTTTTTTGTGGTGTTTGCAGGGAGGGATGTGAAAATGGTGGGGAGAAGGTTCTGGAGACGGTTTGCCATAGATGTTTTTTTTTCTATTTCTTGTTTCCCTTTTGACTTTCTGGGGGATGTTTGTGTCATAGCTTCATCGAAATTTCTCTTTCTGCCCAAGCCTTCTTTCGGTTTCCAATCCCATAGTGTTAGGTTGTCTTCTTTGGACTACTGACGTGTTGCCTGTGGTTTCTGTTGTATGTGTTGATGTTTCTATTTGTCTTTTCCAAGCATTGTGAAGTTTGGTTCTTCGATGGAACCTAAGGGAGGTGTCCAGTGTCACCATTGCTTCGTGGTGGTAGTTTGAGAGGAGATGGCTGTGGGTGTAGGTCCTTGGTTCCTGAGTATCTCTGTATGAGGAGCTTGTGGAGACTTAAGTGTTTGGAGCTGCTGTGAGTGTGTAGGAAAGGCGTTTGCTTTGGGAAGAAGGAAAAAGGGTCATTTTGCTTCCTTCTTGTACATGGGGTTGATGTTGCCATTCGCATACCCTCAGGCACCAAGTCGTGTGGTTGTTGCTTTCTGTTCCGTGTGAGCTGTGGCGCCTGCAGAGAAGGAATAGTGCCCATAAGCTGTGTGTATGGCAAGGGTCTTGTTGTAGTGATGCTCGAGCCCTGTTCTCCTCGTTCTTTCTACCACTTGGGAAGAGGTGAAGGATGAGGCTTCCTGACATGCTAGAATTGTGGGATGGTTTGTGTTGGAAAGTATCTTAAAGCTCACTCTATCCCAACCCACTGCCATGGTCAGGGGCACCTCCCTCCAGAGAAGGTGCCCAAAACCCCATCCAGCCTGGACGAGAGCAGTCACAGGGATGGGGCATCCCCAGCTTCTTTGGGCAGCCTGTGCCATTGCATCACCACTGTTACAGTAAAGGATTTCTTTGGAACATGTAATGTTAGTTTACTCTCTTTTAGTGGAAAGCCAGTATCCGGTGTTCTTTTCCTCCACCCTCATAGAGTGTGTCCCTCCTCACCTTCCTCATAGGACGCCCCTAGTTATGGGATGGCCTCTACCAGGTCACGTAGCAGCCATGGCTGCAGGAGTGAGGCTGATGGGGGAGGTGTTTGGCAGGACCTCACACATTTTTGTCCTGTGGGATGTCAATGGTTTTTGAAGAACGGGAGGAAGGGAGCTGTTGTGCAAAACTGTTGCCCTGGGAAAGGTATCAGAAGTCAAGACAATACAAACTGTTTCTGTCTGCCCTCATGACCTTGAGTGAGTGACCTGCAGGTCCGAGCAGCACAGCAAGCAGCACGGACACAGACAAATGGTGTGCAGAAGGGTGCTGTGGCCCATCGCCAGTGCATCCAGCTGAACATCGAGTAAGGGTGGCATGGCTTTTCCTTCAGTGCAGCCAGAGCGTGGAGCAGTAGTGGAGGCTCTAGGGGAGAGGATTAGGGGCTGGCTCCAGCATGCTAGAGAAGCCTTCTAGTCGTGACCCATACCAGTTGTGGTACCAAGAGGGACGGAGAGAAGGGAATAGATGGCCCCATCTTTGTGCCCATGTGTGGGGTTCAGTGCGGTCGTTGTGTGTGGAGTTGGGCTGCCCCTGTGGGAGGTTCTGTCCTCATGAGAAAAGAGCCTCTGTAAAGTTTCTACAAAGATAAAGTTAATTTATTTTCAATAAATAATTGAAAAAAAAGATAAATAGAAGGAAGGGAAGAGTAAGTAAGGGGCTCCTCTTAGCGCAAGGTGCGGGTGAGGCGGTGGATGCGCTGGAAGCAGGCGTGAGCCTCGAGGCGGACGTGGTCCCATGCGCAGGGGCTGTAGGTGTGGTTCTGGAGGAAGTGTTGGATGCAGCCGAAGTACTTGTTGATGCTGAGGTGAAGGTTGCGGGGCCCTCGCCTGTGGAGGCGCGCGGCGTCGGCTGGGAAGCAGCGCTCGAGGTGGTGGATGTGGTGCTGAAGCTGGTTGAGGAGGTCGTGGCGTGCGGTGTGGAGCCAGTGCGCGGGGGTGCTGGGGCTGCTGAGGGTGTCGAAGAGGTGTTGGAGGAGGTGGAGGGCGGTGTGTGCGGCTTGCTGCGTGTCGTTGGTGTCCAGGAGGGTGTCCGGGAAGGAGCAAGGCGCGTGTTGCTGCGGGCAGGGCTGTGTGGGGCTGGGAGCCATGTTGCGGAGGAGCTGGAGGCTGTCCCAGGCGAAGGCGCTGTCGTGGAGGCGCAGGGGGCTGCAGGAGAAGGCGTTGGCGGGAGGCGTGAGGAGGAGCAGGAGGGCCAGGGCGCTGTAGATGGCTGGTGGTGGTGGGGCTGATGGCCCAGGCATGGTGGCTCTTGGGTTGTGCTGGGCAAGAGCCTGTTGGGGCTGGGTGGTGTTGGTGCTCGGGGTGCTGGCGTGTGTCGAGCTTTATGCAGTGCGGCATCTTCCTTTCCCTTCGTCGCTTTCAGGTCATGGAGGTGCTTTCGGCTGTGGTTTTCAGTTTGGGGTGGTTGCGGTTTGAGGGGAAGTGTGTTGTTGGGGTTGCCCCGAGCACGGTGCGCGAGCTGTAGGTCCTTGGCTCGTGTTGTGATGGATATTTTTTGGCATATTTGGAGGCGGGGGAGTGAAAGTGGTTTTGAGAAGGCAATGCTGTGGGGAAAGGTGTGCCACAGATGTTGTGCTTGTTTCCTATTTCTGGTTTCCGTTTTGTTTTAAACGAGCATCTTTGCGTCATAGCTACACTGAAATTTCTCTTTCTGCCCAAGCCTTCTTTCACTTTGCAACGCCATAGTGTTAGGTTGCCTTCTTTGTACCACTAATGTTTTTCCTGTGGATTCCCTTGTATGTGTTGATGTTTCTCTGTCCTTAAGTATTGTGAAGTTTGGTTCTTCGATGGAACCTAAGGGAGTTATCTGGTGTTACCATTGCTTCGTGGTGGTAGTTTGAGAGGAGATTCTTGAGAAAGCTGCAGCTACCATGAGTCCTTCGCTCAGTCTAGTCTTCTGTGGACTGAACCAAGGTTGTTGGTGGTTTGGTGTGTAGGGAAGTGCGTTGGTGAGTTTCCCCCGAGCCTGGGACAGGTTTTGGAGGTCCTTGGCTTTTTTTTTGGTGTTTTGTTTTGTTTTTGTTTTTTTGATGAGGAGGTTGTGGTTAATCTGTCCTTAGTGTTTGTGTGGGGGATGTGAAAGTCTTGGGGAGAGGGTGCTGGCGCAGCTGTGCTGCGGATGTGCTTTTCGTAGTGTTTCCCTTTTGGCCTTGAGGGAGAGTAGTTGAGCGTTGGCCAAGAGTGCTCTTCCTTCCGAGGTGCACTTTCCCTATGTCATGGCCTAGTGTGAGGTTTGGGTTTTTTCTTCTTGGTCTTCTTTTGCCCGTGTGTTCCGTTTTTCCTTTCAGCTCAGTTGTTCATTGCAGGTTTTGATGTGTTTCCAGAGTGTGGGGTGTTGTGATCTGCTTGGTGCGAGTGCCTTGCTGTAGGCAGGAATTGTTGGGGGAGAGGTGTCCCTTGTGTTCCTGTGCTTAGAGTGTCCGTCTGGATGGAGCTTCCCAAAGGCGTCTGTGCCTTGTCCTTGGTTGGATCACCCGTATCTTGGGTTTGTGTTTGTGGTTGTTTGTTTTTTTTTTTTAGGATGGGGCGGGAGTTTGTGGTAGCATGTCCTGCAAATGAAAGGACCCCCGAAGCATCATGGAGTCATTGAGGTTGGGGAAGACATCGAAGATCATGTAGCTGAACCCTTAAGCTTGTGTGAAAGTCCAGCAGTATCCCTTGCCATGAAGTCCTGAATGTAGGCGTTTCTCGAAGACCTGGAGGGATGGTAGCTCATCAAGTCCATCTTGAAGTGTGTGCAGAGAGGGCACTGCATTGTCTGTGGTGCTGTGCTTGTGTTGCTGGTTGTATTGGTCTTGTTTTTTGGTGGTCTGTCTTTCCCCTTTGTTTTGCTCTTGGTTATTTGTGAAGCAGTAGAAGGGCAAGGAGCTCTTTCCTCTGTCATGGCGTGTAGGCGTTTGTTGGTCCTTGTGGGAAGAAGGCTGTGAAGAAAGCTGTGAATGTGTCAGGAGGCAAGAAGAAGCGTAGAACCATGGTATATGGTGCGTGTGAAGGGGCCCTCCAGGATGGTGTAGTCCAAGTCGTGGGTCCGTGCAGGAGGAGCCCAAAGTGTGTATTTGTGAGAGCCTTGTCCAAGCAGTCCTTGAGGTCCGTGAGCACCTCCCTGTGGAGCGTGCCCAGCTACGTTCTCTGTGCAGAAGCTTTTCCGAAGAGGCAGCGTGAGCCTTCCTTGTGGCAGCTCGGTGCCGTTCGCTGGGGTCCTGTGGCTGTCCCCAGAGAGCAGAGCTCAGGGCCTGCCCCTCTGCTCCCCTCGTGAGGGAGCCGCATGCCGGCATGAGGCCTGCTGTTGTTGGCTGAACAAAGTGAGGGACTTGATCCACTGCTCGCACGTCTTGCCCTCTGGACCTCTGCAGGTCTCCGTTTCCCTCCTTTGGAAGTTCTCCAATAGCTTTATGCCCTTGTTTTGTGGTACCCAGAAGTGCAGAGGGTGCTGGAGGTGAGGCTGCCCCAGAGCAGAGTGGGACAGTCCCTTCCCTGGCTGGGCCTGGGGCCGCCTAGGAAATGGCTGGCCCTTTTGTCTGCCAGGGCATGCTGCTGGCTCCTCTTGCACTTGGTGTTGACCCAAAGGCTGAGATGTGTTTCTGTGGGGCCGCTGTCCGGCCTGTGTTCCCCCCGTGTGTCCGTGAAGGCAGGGTTGCCCCGTCCCCGGTGCAGCCCAAGGCAGCGCTTGGTCTTGGTGCCCGTGAGGTGGTTGGTGAGTGCCCAGCCCTCTGGTTTGCCAAGAGGTGCGTGCGAGGGCTCTGTGTCCTTGCGGGAGTGCGTGCCTCCTGCAAGTGTAGTGTTGTTGGCTAAGTCACTCGTTCTGCCTTTGAGTCCTGCATCCAGGTTGTTCATGAAGGCACGTGAGAGAGCCGTCCCTGAAATGTCGGCCTAGGGCATCCCGTTAGTGACTGGCTGCCAGCCTGCTGTAAGGCCGTTTAGTGTAAGCCTCTGAGGCCGCCTTGTGTGGGGGTTGCTGTCCTCTCATCCTGTGTACTCGTGGAGCAGTTTGCTGTCCATTTTGTCCGGAAGGGTACTGTGAGAGGAAGTATGGAAAGCTTTGCTGAAGTGAGTGACACAGTCACGGAATGTGAGGGGTAGAAGGGACCTTGACCGATCATCTAGTCTGTTCCCGCTGCCGGAGCAGGAAGACTGAGATCACGTCGCACAGGAGCGCATCCAGGCAGGTTGTGAATGTCTCCAGAGAAGGGGACTCCACAACTCCCGTGGTCAGCCTGTTCCAGTGCTCCGCGAGCCTCACGGTGAAGAAGTTTTGTCTCATACTGACACGGAACGTGAGGTGTAACGTGAATATTCCAGCTTGCACCCATTGCTCCTTGTCCTATCTGTAGATAGAGCCTGGCTCCATCCTCCTGACACTCGTCCTTCCCGCATTGACAAAGATGAATAAGGTCACCCCCGAGTGTGCTCCTCTCCAAGCTGAAGAGAGCGAGCTGCCTCAGCCGTTTTTGGTAAGGGAGATGCTCCACTCCCTTCATGGTCCTCGTGGCTCTGTGCTGGACTCTCTCAAGCAGTTGCGTGTCCTTAGTTGAAGTAAGGGTCTGAGAACCGCAGAGAATATTCCAGATGTGGTCTCAGCAGGGCAGAGTAGAGGGGGAGGAGAGCCTCTCTCAACCTGATAAGCACAGCCCTTGTAATACGCCCCAGGATGCCTTTGGCCTTGTTGGCCACAAGCACACAACCCCAAGCTGGCTGGTGGTCATCGTGCTGTCCAGCAGGACCCGCGGGTCCGTTTCCCCTTCGCTGCTCTCCAGCACGACAGTCCCCAAGTTGTGGTGGTGTGTGGAGCTGTGCTTGCCCAGCTGCAGGACTGTCCACCTGCCCGTGTTCTATTTCATTAAATTTCTCCCCAGCAAGGTGAAAAGATGAGGTTGGGTGGTGTGCCTTGGTGAGGGATGTGCGTAATGTTGTCCTGAGAGGAGAAGCTTGAGTGACAGAGGAGATTCCCGTCGTGCAGCCGTGTTGGCTGTGAGCAGTGAGTGTGTCGTGCCCGCGAGCGTGCCGTGCGCCTGGCCAGGCGCGAAGGCCACGTTGCTCCCTGGCCGTGTGGGTCGGGGTAGGAGAGCGGGCAGCGGGCTGTGGAGGGGCTTGTTGTCTGAGGAGCGGAGCGCTGGGTTTTGGGTGGTGTTGGTGAGGGCGTCAGTGGCGTGGCGGAGGGAGAGGTTTGCGGTGGCTGAAGCTGTGGAGGTTGTAGGAGAGGAGGAGAGCGAGAGCGAGCTGTGCCTGCTGTGCTGACGGAGGCTGGGAGAAGGAAAGGAGAGAGGTGCTGAGTGTGTGGGGGTGGTGGCTGCGAGGGCGTGGGGGGAGAGAGAGAGGGAGAGGGACTGTTGGCAGAGGTGTCCCGGGCTGGGCCGGGCCGGGAGAGGAGTGAGCGAGACGAGTGTGGTTGCTGGGGTTCTCCCGAGATGGTTGAGTGGAAGTGCCTGAGCACTTGAGGGCTAAGCAGAAGCGTAAGGCTGGAGCTGAGGGCATTGTCCAGATGCCCCCGGGCCAGAGAGAGGGCTGCCGTAGGACTGGGCAGGTTCTTAGAAAAGGTCTTTATTTGTTTTGCATAAATAGTTACTAATAAATAGATGAGAGGCATGGTTGAAATAAATAGTTAAATAAGGAGGGGGTGGGTGGTGGTGGCCACTGGGCTCCGGTCAGTTCTTGTCAGCGTCCCTGTGTGGTGGGCGAAGGGAGGCATGAGGGCAGAGGTGCGCGTGTGGGGCTCCTCTTAGCGCATGGTGCGGGTGAGGCGGTGGATGCGCTGGAAGCAGGCGTGAGCCTCGAGGCGGACGTGGTCCCATGCGCAGGGGCTGTAGGTGTGGTTCTGGAGGAAGTGTTGGATGCAGCCGAAGTACTTGTTGATGCTGAGGTGAAGGTTGCGGGGCCCTCGCCTGTGGAGGCGCGCGGCGTCGGCTGGGAAGCAGCGCTCGAGGTGGTGGATGTGGTGCTGAAGCTGGTTGAGGAGGTCGTGGCGTGCGGTGTGGAGCCAGTGCGCGGGGGTGCTGGGGCTGCTGAGGGTGTCGAAGAGGTGTTGGAGGAGGTGGAGGGCGGTGTGTGCGGCTTGCTGCGTGTCGTTGGTGTCCAGGAGGGTGTCCGGGAAGGAGCAAGGCGCGTGTTGCTGCGGGCAGGGCTGTGTGGGGCTGGGAGCCATGTTGCGGAGGAGCTGGAGGCTGTCCCAGGCGAAGGCGCTGTCGTGGAGGCGCAGGGGGCTGCAGGAGAAGGCGTTGGCGGGAGGCGTGAGGAGGAGCAGGAGGGCCAGGGCGCTGTAGATGGCTGGTGGTGGTGGGGCTGATGGCCCAGGCATGGTGGCTCTTGGGTTGTGCTGGGCAAGAGCCTGTTGGGGCTGGGTGGTGTTGGTGCTCGGGGTGCTGGCGTGTGTCGAGCTTTATGCAGTGCGGCATCTTCCTTTCCCTTCGTCGCTTTCAGGTCATGGAGGTGCTTTCGGCTGTGGTTTTCAGTTTGGGGTGGTTGCGGTTTGAGGGGAAGTGTGTTGTTGGGGTTGCCCCGAGCACGGTGCGCGAGCTGTAGGTCCTTGGCTCGTGTTGTGATGGATATTTTTTGGCATATTTGGAGGCGGGGGAGTGAAAGTGGTTTTGAGAACGTTTGGTGTGTATGGAAGTGTGTTGGTGAGTTTCCCCCGAGCCTGGGACAGGTTTTGGAGGTCCTTGGCTTAGTTTTGGTGTTTTTTTTTTTTTTTTTTTTTTTGACGAGGAGGTTATGGTTAATCTGTCCTTAGTGTTTGTGTGGGGGATGTGAAAGTGGTGGGGAGAGGTTGATCAGGGAGCTTTGTCTGAGAACTTTTTATGGCTTCCTTTTTTTTTTTTCCTGTGTGTTAGGTCTTTTTTCCGGTAAAGTTTCCCAACCATATCAAGTGTTTATTTTTTTCGTTTTTGAAATTGTGGTAGTTTTCGTGGTTTTTCTTTGAGTTTCATTTTTTGGCTCTTTTTTTGGTAGTAATTCATCATTGCGTTTTACATTTTGAAATATTTTGAAAATGATACTGGCAGCTTGCCTAGGCAGCCAGGAAGACCAATGGCATCCTGGCTTTTGTCAGGAATAGGATGGCCAGCATGACTAGGGAGGTGATCATCACCCTGTACTCGAGGTGCAGTCTCAACAGAACAGAGTACTTTGTTTAGCTTTGGGGCCCTCACTATAAGAAAGATATCAAGGCCCTGGAGCATGCCCAGAGAAGGGCTGCGAAGCTGGTGAAGGGCCTGGACCACAAGTGTTAATGAGGAGTGACTGAGGGAACTGGGGGTGTTTCTTCTCGAGAAGAGGAGGCTCAGGGCAGAGCTTATGGCTCTCTATAGCTACCTGAAAGGAAGTTGTGGGGAGCTGCAGGTTTGCCTCGTCCCATAGACAACTAGTGTTGGAAGAGGGAATAGCCTCAAGTTGTGCCAGGAAAGGTTTAGGTTGGAAATTCTGAGACTTTTCCTCTCTGAAATAGGTGTTGAACCGGGTTTCCCAGGGAGGTGGCATCATCACTGTCCCTGGGGGTGTTTAAGGAAAGGTTGGACGTGATGCTTAGGGTCAGGGTTTAGTGGGTGACATTGGGGACAGGGGGTTGGTTAGAGAGATGATCTTGGAGATCTCTTCTAGCCTTAATGATTCTGTGAATCTGTGGAGCTCTCGAACATGGCTTGTCCTGAAGGTAGTGGCTTTTGTTTGTAGGTTTGAATGAGTTTGACTGATGGAGTGCTTGCAGTGTTTTGTTTTGCCTTTCTTCTCTTTGAACGCTTTTAAACTTCCTGAGGAGTCTCTTTTGAGGTCTTTCATGTTCAGTGATGGAGTGTCAGACAAGAATATTTTAGTATAGTTTTGCTGCTTTTGTCAGTTGAGCAAATTTTCAGTAAAAGTGTCTCAGTGTGCTATGTGAAAGAAAGGTCTTATCATTAGCAATTGCATTTTTTCAATTTTAGGTTTTCTTGCCTGGTAAATACGTTTTCTTTGTAATCATCTTGTACTGTAGGAACTTCTCTGTTTCTCTGTTTCCGTGTTTTTTAATGACTCAGTGCATCATTTCATGTTTTGAAATTCTTGTATGATGTATTTTGGAATAAGTCTTTTCAGATGCTGAGGGTAGTTTCCCTCAGTTTCCCGAGGGAGTTATTGAACGAAACTTTTGAGCATCTCTAGGGATGGACATTCTGTGACCTCTCTGATCACTTTTTTGGTGTTTTATCACATTAATGATAAAGATAATACTTATCTTTCAGTTTTGGAAGTTTGAAATTCATTTGTGAATTTCCTGCGTTTCTCTCATGTTTTGTTCTTAAGAGGAGGGTTGCTCTCTGCAGCTACCTCACAAGACAGAGTCAGTCAGGCCCTCCTTTGTGGGATCGCAGGATTAGGAGTAACATGAGGAGGATTATGGTATGACCAGGAGCTGGAGGCTGCTGTGGGAGGGCTTGTGTTGTGTGCCTGAGTACATTTGTTCCTTCACTTCTCAGTTGCAAGCGACATCTGTTTCCTTTTGCCCAGAGCAGTATCTTTGCAGTAGTGATACATTGGAGGTGGTGTGACAGCATTGAGAACGGCCTCTTTCCCCTCTCCAGGAGGAGCTTGGAGGTACTGGGCATTGTTGTTTTCTTGCCCTAGCTTACTTGTTGGGGTAAAGCAGCTGGGGCAGTGTTTTTGGGATGGTGGTCAAGGTAAAGGAGCAGCTGGTGGTGTGTGGGATGCTGTGCTGTTCTGTGCTGACTGGGTTGGACTGTCACGGGTGGTGGTGTTGGAGGATTCTGCTGTTTGCTTACTAAGGTTGTGTTGGGATGAAGAAGTGCGAGACCGTGGTGGCTGTAGGAGAACAACGAGTAGTTCCTGAGCATCTGGTGTTTTTTTTTGTGTGTGTCTTTTTGATATTCCTGTGTGTTGTTGGTTAGCGCTGAGGTGCAGCTTTTTGCCCAGACCTCCACAGGTCTTGCTTGGTCCCCCCTCTCCTCTGTGACGTACGCTTTGTCCCTGCCTCCCTCTTTAGCCCCAAGCAGCCCCGTGGCATCGCCAGAAGGTTGGTCATGATGGGGTGTTGGTCTTGGGGTGCACATGAAGGTGGCTTTCACACCGTGGCAGTGGCAGAGGACTTGGAAGGGAGCAGGTGGGCGGTGGCAGACAAGGAGTGTGTGATGCAGGCGCCATGTTTCCAGGGCAGGCATGCACCATTAGGTCTGGTGTTGGTGGGAGATTGCCCATGGGCTTGGTGGGTTTGGGAGAGGCACTGCTCCCCGACAGCCCTGTGGTAGCAGTTAGCAGCCCAGAGCCCTCAACCAGTGACAGAGGCTGTCAGTGAGACAGGCTGCAGGAAGCAAGGCTCTGCTGGCCTCAGGGAGCCCGACTCTGCCTGTGGCGCCTGTGAGAGATGACCACCACTTCTTGTCTTTTTTATAAAATATAAAATCTTTATTTCCAGAAAAAGAGTGAATAAATACTAAGTGCAAATAAATAAGGATGAATAAATAAAAAAGGGGAATAAATAAACAAAGGCATGATAAATAAAGTTCTGCAATAAATAGTCATTGACACGTCCAAGTCCGCAAAAAGTGCCCATTGATGCCTTCCCCTTCCGTCAGGAGAGGCTGCAGTCCAGATAGGCAACACAGCCCCACAGGTAATAAATTCATGTATCCCCATCGCCTCACAGCCATCCCCTGGGTATGCAACATAGCTGTGTCTTCCCCCTCCCCTAGCAGTGAAGTGTCCATGGTGCACGCCACATGGCTGGATACACTGTCCCGCAGCCAGGACCAGGCCTGGCCTCAGCGCAGTCACGGCTGTTTCCCTCACGCCGTGGGCTTGTGGCTGGAGGAGGGCTGAGCAGTGCTGAGCCGACCCTGTCTGTGCTGCAGCTGGTGCCTCTTGCTCGGCATCCACTGGCGTTGGCTGGGGGCAGTCATAAGGTGCAGATGGCTTCCGAAGTGGCTGGGAGATGCTTGGCTCTTCATCCGCCGTATCAGCGTGTCCAGGCGCTGGAAGCAGGCATGAGCCTCGAGGCGGACGTGGTCCCACGCGCAGGGGCTGTAGTTGTGTTTCTGGAGGAAGTGTTGGATGCTCCTGAAGTACTTGTTGATGCTGAGGTGAAGGTTGCGGGGCCCTCGCCTGTGGAGGCGCGTGGCGTCGGCTGGGAAGCAGCGCTCGAGGTGGTAGATGTAGTGGTTGAGCTGGTTGAGGAGGTCGTGGCGTGCAGCGTCGAGCCAGTGCACAGGGATGCTTGGACTGCTGAGGATGTTGAAGAGGTGTTGGAGGAGGCGGAGGGCGGTGTGTGCGGCTTGCTCTGTGTTGTCGGTGTCCAAAAGGATGTCCGGGAAGGGAAAAAGTGCGCGTTGATGCAGGCAAGGCTCTGTAGAGCTGGGAGCCATCTTGCGGAGGAGCTGGAGGCTGTCCCAGACGAAGGCGTTGTCGTGGAGGCGCAGGGGGCTGCAGGAGAAGGCGTTGGCGGGAGGCGTGAGGAGGAGCAGGAGGGCCAGGAGGGCACTGTAGATGGCTGGTGGTGGTGGGGCTGATGGCCCAGGCATGGTGGCTCTTGGGTTGTGCTGAGCAGGAGCCTGTAGGGGCTATGTGGTGGTGCAGGTGTTTGTAATGGTCAGGGTGCTGCTGTGCGTCGAGCTTTATGCAGCACTGCATCTTTCCTTTCATCATCATCATCCAAAGAGAATTCCCCTGTTTCCGTTTTCAGTTTTGCTTTCTGTTTGCCCTTTTCCTTGTCTTCTGTGGAGCCAGGCGAGGTGTGCCCTCGTTCAGCAGGCAGGAGACAGCACACATCTTTCCCATCGCTTCTCTAGGGGTGTTGGGGTGCCCTGGTTGCAGGTCAGCCTGGCTGTGGGCCAGTGTGGCTGTGTGGGAGATATGAAAGTGCTGTTGCAGAGGCCGTTGAGGCAGCCGTGCTGCAGAAGTGTTTTAGGGTTCCCTTTTGTTGTTTTCATGGACTGTTTTGCTTGGGTTTTATTTTCAGGTTTCCTTGCCTACCCAAATCAATTTTGCTTATATAATGCTCTGATACTCTTTGTATTTCTGTTTATGTACATTTCCCTTTATTTGCATTGTGTTGTTTATGTTTTGTTTTTTTTTTTTTTAAGGATTTCAAGAAGTCTTTTTTCCTGCTTTTTCTGTAACATCTTTGTTGATACAGAAGCTTTGTTGGTAAAACAGGTTTTCCTTTTGCAAAAATCTTGTTGAATATCCATGCTTGTGACCATCCTATGCCCCCCAGTGTTTGTTCTCAGTGTGTCAAACTTTCTGGATAAATGCCTGAGTATCACAAAGGTTTTGCTGTTGGTTGTTCATTTGTTCATTCCGGTTCTTCCATCTTTTTTGTATGTTGTGTTTTGAATTTGACACAGGATTTTGTACTAAGAATTTTATCAGAGTAGGTGGGAATGATGGTGTTTGAGGTGCCAGTCTGCCCACATCTAGAAAGTGAAAGTGGGCAGAAGTCCAGGAGCAGTTGTCGTCATGGTCTGGCAGCTTCTGGTAGCAAGAGGCACTGATCCTATGAGAATTGGGGTTTCCTTTTTTTTTTTTCTTTTTTTTCTTTTTGGGCATACTTTTAAAAATTTAAGTTCATTTCTTCATGTGTATGTTGGTACTGTAAATTCTGACTTCGTGTTATTTGGGTACGTCACCTTGTCTGCTGCTGCCTTGTAGCTTGCATGTGTGGTAGCGGTCTTGAGTGGTGGTGGGACTTGATCCTCAGCTGCTGCCTGTGTTGCCTTGTGTGCTGCTTGGTGAAGCTTAAACCTGTAACGCCAGGTCACTTCTTATTCTTCAGTCCTTTCACACCGTTTGAGTCTATTCCTGATATTTCCATTTTGATTTTGAGCGTGTTGTCCCATGCGCCTTCTGTAGGGCAGGAGATACTTATGTTTGAAGAACAGAGTATCTTTTCTGATTTTTTTTTTTGGGGGTAGGCATGAATTTCAAATGTAACCAGATTTTACTCCCATTTTTCTATGACTTCTGTGTATGTCTGCATGCATGGGTGGGATAGGCATTTGTGGCCCTGACAGGATGACTGCTGCGCTTCCCCCCATCAATGGGGCAGTGGGAATAAGTGCAACCCTTAGACCGTCGTCTTGTGTGAATTTGATTATACTTTGTGCAATGTATATAGGGAAAAATGCTAGCATGTCTGTTATTTGTGGCATTTTCCTTGGCAGGAGATGGAAGTGCTATTGATCTGCTAAGATTTCCAACAGGGAAGTGATTGTGTTTTGTTAAGAGACTCCTGCTGGAGTTGATGAGACAAAATTACTTGAGAAAGAAAGGGTCACACACAGAATTTCTAGGTTGGAAGAGACCTCAAGATCATCGAGTCCAACCTCTGACCTAACACTAACAGTCCCCACTAAACCATATCCCTAAGCTCTACATCTAAACGTCTTTTAAAGACTTCCAGGGATGGTGACTCCACCACTTCCCTGGGCAGCCTGTTCCAATGCCTAACAACTCTTTCGGTAAAGAAGTTCTTCCTAAGATCCAACCTAAACCTCCCCTGGCGCAACTTTAGCCCATTCCCCCTCGTCCTGTCACGAGGCACGTGGGAGAACAGACCAACCCCCACCTCACTACAGCCTCCTTTAAGGTACCTGTAGAGAGTGATAAGGTCGCCCCTGAGCCTCCTCTTCTCAAGGCTGAACAAGCCCAGCTCCTTCAGCCGCTCCTTGTAGGACTTGTTCTCCAGGCCCCTCACCAGCTTCGTTGCCCTTCTCTGGACCCGCTCAAGCACCTCGATGTCCTTCTTGTAGCGAGGGGCTCAAAACTGAACACAGTACTCAAGGTGCGGCCTCACCAGAGCCGAGTCCAGGGGGACGATCACCTCCCTAGCCCTGCTGGTCACACTGTTTCTGATACAAGCCAGGATGCCGTTGGCCTTCTTGGCCACCTGAGCACACTGCTGGCTCATATTCAGCCAACTATCAACCATCACTCCCAGGTCCTTCTCTGCCTGGCAGCTCTCCATGATGAAATGATGGAGATGGATGATGAAATACGGCGCGGTTTCGAGTTACACAAAGTCCCCACAATCTTAAGTCTTTGCCAGGTTATTTCATGTTGGGTGATGGAGGATGATGTGTAAAAAACAGGGCAGTGAGATGCAGAATTGCAGCAGGGTGGAAGGTGCAATTAAATCAGAGAAAGCATTTGAGGTGTCAGGGAATTTGCAGAGATGAGTGTGGAGGAGGAGGATACTTTTCAAGTGTTGGAGCATGTATGGAAATGTAGAAAGGAGTGGTGAAGGCATTAACTAGCTCTGGATAGTGAGGAGTAAGTGAACATCAGGAGAAAAACTGCTTGGTGGAATACCAGCCCCACAGGTGGAGCTCACCCAGAGAGGGAAGGGCAACTTCTTCACCCCAACAGAAAATGAAACGTTGCTTTGTTTTTGCTGGTGTGTTCTGTTACCTCAGAGTGCAAGGCTGCCAGGGTAAGGACCATCTTTCTGTAGAAGACCTAGAAGAACATAGTCTAAGGCAGTGTTCTCCACCTCTTTTGATCATGTACCCCTATCACTTTGGGAAGGGGGTGAGGGGTTGATCACCCAGCCCCTTCATTTTTTTATTTCATGTTATTAATGGTACCAAAAAAAATCTTCGTGCACCCCACTGGATTGTCTTGGGCACCACACTTTGCAGTCCACTGATCTATATGGTCTTCTGTGACATAGCTTAAATAATCTTCTCTGTCATCAGGTAGCAACTCTTTTGCCCCAGTTTTCTTTCAAGTTTGTTCCGTTTTTCTAGGTAATGTTTTTTATTTTAGAGAACAGGGCATGGTACAAGACCTTTAGACTACATCCACGTTATTTTCATGGCCCTGTCCTGACTCCAAGTCTCTGGCACCCTGCAGGGTCTGTTGTTCTTCCAGGTGCAGTCTTGCTGGAAGATGACAGCTCTAAGCTGAGGGTTGGGTGAGAAGAGCTTTTAGTCATATCCTTTGAGCAGAGTGGGAACTGACCTTCTTCTACACCCTTAGATGTATCAGCAGGCGAGGCAGAAGCTGCCATTACAACATAAAGTGATTGCAGACGATATTAAGGGTCCATAAAGTAGGTTTATTTTGAAATTGAGGATCCTGGTAAATCTTGAGCTCTGTTGGAAGCTTGGGCAGAAGCTGACCTTACTAGCTTCCCTTGTTCCTTACTTTTAAAATTCTTGTTTTTATAATTCAGGTATAAGAGCTGTTCAGCTCTGTTATGGTTACAACTGTTAATAAATGATGTCATCTATGTTTAAGGATTACTACGGAATTACATTCCCTGCTCCTGCAACCTTGACAGGCAGAGATGGGAGCCTTGCTAACAACCCATACTCAGGTGAGTGCTATTTAAAGACAAGGACAATAAGTGAGATGTGTTGGTTTCTAAAGGCAGGTCATCCTGCTGTTGCTGATAGAGAGAGCAGTCTTTTTTGCCCTTCTTTAGGCAATTTAAATCCACCAATCTGAAAATAAGTAAATAAAAACAAGCTTCTCCCTATCAACTTTTACATGAATTTTTATTCATGGTTTTGATTGGGAATTTATATATGACCTCTTCTGGGATAAAGCTGGATAGTCTTTGAGAACAAGCGTAAAATTGTTCAAAATGTAAATCTTAGTGTCATCTAGTGCTTTTCCCAAGCACATACAGGTGCTTAGAAAATAGCTGATAGTTTAATTGGTCTTTTCCTTGAAATTCACCTGGCTGGCTTTCCTTTTTGGCACTGGAATAAACCCTTTTAAGATCCTTTTAGAGCCCCTTCAGCAGCAACCCATGCTTGGTTACTGCTATTTTAGCACTTGTATGTTCCCACCAGGAGCTGCCTCTAGCAGGTTTTCCCCTGCCCTCCTCAGGTCTAATGGACTTCGCTCCCAAAAGCACGTGGTCTAAGAAACTCTTCCTCATTTTTGTTCTTCAGTTATCAATGTGCAAAGATGACAGTAATGCCATACAACATATTCAACAAAAGCTTTTCTTCCACTGCCATCTGATTACAGCTTAAAACTGTAGCCATAAATTATGATCCCTATAATGCAGTTACTGAATGTTGTCACTCCTCTTGGCAACCGACAAAGAGGAGAAGTACTGGTCAGGAATGAGATAGATGTGATGTGTTACCTCCTTTAAAATAAAGAAAAAAAAATCACATACGAACAAGCTGCTCTGTAGGCTGTCAGAAAAATGCAAGTGTTTTGGAGTTTTCTGCTTCATAGTCACTTCTCTTGGGAGGCTGATTTTGGGTTAATAACCAATTTCCCTTCCTACTTCTTCAATAAGGTGGTCCACGATGCAAGCCTTGCTTTCCTGGCCTTCAGCTACTGTCTCCAGAACTTTGGTGGTGTGAGGAACCGGACATCTAACTAGTCATGCTTCACAAATAAACAGACATTGACAAAAATATGCCCATCACCGCCTGTAAATCTTAACTTGCTCTCAGCCCATGAAGCTTGGCTAATCAGTTTAACCTCCAGGAGAGTCACATTTTAACCCAACAACCATTTGCACTTTGGCTAATTACCATAGTTCTGCTTTTAGCATATTTTATTGAAATGGTTTGATAGTAATCAATCTGCTTGGTGTGCATGAGATGGGTAAG